TGTATATTGCTTCGTGTGTTGTCTGTTGTTCTGTCTGTACAGCACTTTGGTTGGCCTTGTAGCTGTTTTAAGTTCTCTATAAATAAAATGGTATGGTATGGTAATATCAGCCGATACGGTAACATGCCGATAATATCGTGCATCCCTACATGAGATATTTGGCAAATGGGCAGTTCACTCTAAATGGTAATTGGCAATTTTTCTTAGCAAGCATCTTGCAAAATCTGTTAGTACTCAGAATATGTGTTAGGGTTCAGTTTCAGCTCTCACCACCTCAAATTTTAGGATAATATTTGTCAAACTGAGCATAACTGAGTTATAGCCATTCTTGTGTTTTGAAGTTCAGTTGACTGTGGAAGCCATATTGAATCTGGCTGACTTCAAAACTTAATCAGCTGTAAATGTACATCCAATAATTACTTTTTGCAACTTTCATCCAACTCCATCTTGTGGTTTATGGGATATTTTGGTAGCAAACAGACACCAGAGCACACACACAAGAAAAACATTATTTTTCTGCCTTTGCCTTTCAGCTGCAGGCAATGACAATATAATCATTATTATGAAGTAGTTTAAGTTCTGTAATCTGAAAAGTTTGTTCACACTAATTAAACTAAACCTAAACAATAAGCATAATATAAGATGTAGTAACAGATTCAGCAATGTCTGTAATGTCCCAAACGTTTGGTTTTGTAGCCCTAAAATTACCTTTTAATATACCTATCCTTTATTGTCTATCTGTTACATCACTCAGAGCAGAAAGACAAATAAATTTTTTAATAAAAATAGATATTTAAATAAAATAAACTTATGAGTTTTCTAAATTAAAAAAGGTTGAAATAAGGCCAGATGTTTGACTTCATCCATGGTTTAAAAGCACCATTGGAATGTCTTTTCAGGCTTTTTTTGCTGCAAATCTAGTTGACAAAAAGGACTGGAACTCCAAAACAAGGAGGTGCTGATTGGTTGAGTAAGCAAAGTAGATTTAACAGGTAAAGCACGACTGCGACGGACTTCTAAACTGAGGAAAATCTAATTTAATCATCGTGTAATCAGATGTATAAGAGCCCTGCAGCCAGGAAGCAACTCATGCAAAGGGATTTATCATCAACAGAAACGTGTACTGGGACAGCTAATAAAAGAAAACTCATAAATGAAGGGAAAAAGCTATTTTGGGGCACCTGTGGAGAGAAATAAGCCACGGGGTCAATCTCAGGGCATGCAGCAATAGCATTCAGTAAGGCCTCAATCTCCTGCTCCCCTGCATGCTGGAATGCGTGTAAACTTTTAGGCAGACAGGCCTCAAGTGATTGCAGGAACTCCTCCAGCTCTTCCATGTTGTACTTGGACACTCCTTGTTGCATAGTACACGTCTGCAGGCGGCTCTCGGTGGGTAGGATTACAGAGTTTCCATATGGCTCAGGCTGTGTCACCACCACACTAACCAGCTCACAGTCATCCTGAGATGATCCATCTTCCAGCAGCTCAGCAGTGGATAGCTCATTGTAGTCTGTTAAAGTCCTGGAACGCCAGCCAGAGCTGTTGTTTTGAGTTTTGGAAACTGACCCCAAAGATGACCTCCCTGTGGAGTATTTGTATTCCCCGTTGCTCAGAATATCCTTTCCATTAAGCCTCACCGCTCCAGGTTCTTTCTCTCGTGGCTCTCGAATCAAACTGCCACTGTGGTAGAGGTTGGCTCTCACAGGGGAGAAAGGGAAGTCCTCTTGTCCTGAGCTTAGGGACCGTCCTGTTTTCAGGTCCCCAGACATATGCATTGCCTCAGACGATGAGAAGCTCCTTGTTCCAGGGCCAGATTTTTTGTGGGATTTACGTGCATGTCGCTGCCTCTCCACAGAGGGACTGTACAGGCCAGAGTCTTCTTCAGATGTCAGTGAGTTGGTCATACTCTGTCCTCTCTTGCCGTTAATCAAGCCAGGCTTCTCAATGGTCCCAGAACTCAGAGTGCCACTGCGGCTGGCATATTCCCCTAAATTATTGGGGGCAAAAGTCCTCCACGACCTGCGGTGGTGAGGATGCTCCTTCTTGTCTCCTCCCTGAAGATGAGTTTTAGGCAGCACTGTATCACTTATCATGTTCCCATTAAGTTTAAGCCCGTCAAAGACTGCACGCTCATCCAGCACAGCAGGTTTTCTGGTTCGGAGCTCAAAGGAACTAGAAGCTGAAATACCTCCGTTCCCACACAGGTTGCTGAAGTCCAATGTGCGATGTGTGTAAGGTAAGGTGCCTGTGAAGTGCCTAGAAGAAAGGCTCCCCTTGGATCCAGAGTCGATCTGCTCATTGAGTCGTACAGTGTCATAAATGGATCTCTGGGGAACGTAGCAGTCATCAATGTTCAGGTCCTCCTCCTCCCCCTTCCCAACGCAGGAAGGGTTTTGTCTGAGACAATCTGGTCTGCTCAGCGGCTTGCCCATGTTGAGACAACTGTCACCATTGACCACAAAAAAAAAAAGATTAAGGATGTGAAATCCTTACAGAGGTACAGGGAAAGTCGCTTCAGTGCAAAGTGAGCAAGTGAAAAAGGAGCACAACTTACATGAGAAACAACTGTGTGCAAAATAATGTTTCAGCTCTCTTAAGTGAAAAATGATCAAATCAATACTAAGCTTTTATTTTGTATTTCAAAATAAATGTATCAGGATTTTAGCAAACGGATTGTTTCTTTAAAAAATAAAATCATTTGTAGCATGTTCTAGATAAATATAAAAAAAACTTTTAAAAACGTGGGTCCGACACAGTTAAAAATGTCATCACAGAACAAGTCCAAGTCCAAAGATAATCCTCAAGGATTTTTCCGAAACACAGATTTTATCTTCTTGCTCAAAGTGAATTTTTTTTTTTTTTGGTCCTGAAAGTCCTTCCAGCATCCACGTGAGCTAAACAAAAGTCTTGAAAGTGTCCACAAACAAATCCAGCAGGCTAGAGAGAAGAACGCAGGCAGCTCCGAGGAGAGCTGGTACTCTGGATAAACAAAAAAAAAAAAAAAAAAAAGCCTGTCCTTCCTCTCACATCGCTCCCCTCACACTGACAGACACCCTCCTGGCAGAAGGTTCCATGCCCCGCCCCCCTGCTCATTATTCAGACAACATCTGCCACAACTCCATTTGTGCTCAGAGCAGCTCTGGCACAAGTTGATTGGTGGACATATGACCCTTTCCACCCTCTTTCTAATTCCCCTATTTTTCTTTGGTCCATATGACTTCACTTCTAAGTCATCTTCTGAATCCTGACACACTCACTCACTCCTTTCTTCTCTTTCAGGAACTAAGGGAATGGGGAAGGGAAGGCATGTGCTCGCACACACAAACATGCACGCACACACACACACACACACAAAGACCAGCAGGCAGCAGCAGCTCTCACTGATGACATCACGATATGCTGAAATAGATACACTGTTTTTCCTTTTTTGTCTCTTTGTCCTCTGTCTTTTGTGATCAGTCGCTGTAGATCCTGCAGATCTTCCTAATTACTGTGGAATGCTGAGGGAGGCACAAGGCCCAGGTAATTTAACACTGACGACACTGCCAAGTGCATCATGGGGCTTTTATGTCCAGTGGCACAAGTAGCACAAGAAAAGAGGATAGAAAAAATACTGAAAGTAAGTTATTATTGCTTCAATGATTCCTACGTTACACACCCAGCTTCTTTGTTGAGCGATATACACATGAAAATAGATGAAAAAAAAGAATGGTGTGTGTGATATTTAAGGATAATTGGATGGGCATTATATAAAAACAATGCTCAACATCAGTGATCTGACTTTTTATTATATTTAGCTATTCCTATAAATAAAATCAATCGAGAAATTCCACCATTTTCATTAATACCTTGTTCAGTAAAACATATTGATAAAAGTACACTGTAGACTCATAATCCCTAATCAGGATTATCACTGTGAAAGAAAGAAAAAAATCACTGTAATGCAACTTTGTTTATATGTGCTGCTGATTATCCATGCTGCTGATCTCATTCATTCGTCCTCATCCATCCACAAAGACCCATATTCATGCTGCTGTTGTTCGGTGTATTGTTTTGCACTATTAGTGATTAGCGTATATCTTAGATCTTTTAGCGTACCGTTTGGCGTTCGTTTATATCCTAGTGTAGATCCTTATTTACCGTTTCTTTTTACACTTTATAGTTTTGCTATTGTTGGATTTAACTGGGACTCTGTGTACACAAGTCCGTCCCACCTCATGTACCACATGTGATGTGAATGACAATAAAGAACCTTGATGTTCACATTGAGTGTGTATTTGCATTTCTGAACAGCATATTAATATATCTGGAGAAATGCTGCAGTAAGCTCAAACTGCATCATTTGATAAAGTTCAAATTACCATTTTTGGGGGTCATATTTCATAGTTTGCAATATTTTTTCAACAAAGTAGACTTCAATATAAAAAAAAAAAAGTATAAAAAAAAATGGGCAGCTTCTTCACTTAATATGATTCGAACAATGATTGTAAACTTCTATCAAGTGGAAAATGCAGCGTAATCACTGTACAGCAAAATTATATTTCTTTGCTCGTCCTGCAACTAAACCATAAAGTTTCACTTAAAGGAGAATGCATCTTCATGCAGCAATAAAAAAAAATGAAGGGACACGTGTTTTTATATCATCTTTAGTGAACAGGAGTATGATTCAGAAGATTTCAAAGGGACAATCCCCACTAGTGTTGAGTCCCGAAAACTAATTCTACCCATTCACATTTGCTCATAAAGTAGATTTACCAGCTCTTAAAAACCTTATGACAGAAACTTGAGAAACACATGAAGCCCTCTTTTCAGAACTTGACCTAAAATGGTAACGGAGCATACGAGAGAGACACATCCAAGCACTGTCTTTCACAGTTTTTATTTTCCAGCAGATGACGATGAAACTGATTTACAGAAAAAAAACATGGTTCACTAAAAATAAAGCTCTGCATGACCAAGTTGGTGTAGTGTATTTATCCTGCAGCTAAATAATAAAAAGATCATGTTTCAATGTCGGTTTGCTGTTATTCTTCTTTTGATTCTATGAGTATTGTCACAAAGAGGACCTTCCACCAGCAGCTGAGGCTGGAAATGCCCTCTCAGCCAAGAGAGTGGTCACAGGACAATAACTGGGTGTGCACGCCATGACAACATGGCTGCTTAGCAACATTTTGAATCAATCAGTTCTTTAATAATAACCCTACGAACCAATCTCCACACATCAAGCTGACACTTCCACCCCCACATGACAATGGTAATCCATGCATGTGACACCGAGGCCAGGATGAAGTCTTCGTGCATGAGGAGAACCCCCCTTTTAAATAAAAAAAATAATCATTTGACCTACATCATAGGACAATCATTTTCTTACACAAAGCTGTTTACATTGTTTTACTGTAATGAAATGTAATGCTATAAATACAAAATGGCTTTGAAAATTTCACCTCCAAATATAGGTTAATCCTCTAGTGGAAACTCCACAGGAATTTATGAGCTTTTAAAATATTTGGACCAGTCTGGACATCTTGCTAATAACAGACTGTTAGTATTATCGATCTGATATTAACAGACTACCATGATTTTTAAGACAATTTAGACGCAACATTAACGGAAAATGAACCAGAAGGGCAATTTCGTGCGATTTTATAATGCAAACATTTTTAAATCTATGAACAAAAGCATTTTTTATTACAATATTATATCATTTAAAATCCATTGCAAACATGTTACTAACAAAATCCAAGTCAATATAATCAAAATACAAAGATAACAGGTTAAAGAACAACTAGGAGATCAGGCTGGAAGATCAGCTTTATGACTAAATTATGTGGCGCCCTGCTGATTACCACCTGGTCATGGTGGTCTGTTCCACAAGCCCCCCCATCATCGCATTTAGAAGCCATCTCTTTTGTTAACACCAAATGCCCCAAATAAATCTTGCAGTCTCCAGAGGGTTGCCATGTACAAAGCGAGGATGCTCAGTGAAACAACTATTATTGACCTGTTGTGTAGCATGTAAAATATTAGTAAATTTGCAAAGCCTTTCTGAAATGATAACATACAACATAATTTCAGGGAGCTGGTTTAAAACAAAAAAAGAAAAACTGTTTTTTTTGTTTTTTTTCCAGTTCGTGTCAATTCTAAAAGCAAAAGTGGGATTTACTCATATTGGTGCTGTTTTAGCTGGAAGCATTTGTTCTTTCTTAAATATAAACTGATATCGTAATCAAATCTATTCAGTGCATGTGACTTTAACTGTGTAATTTTAATTAAGAAAGGACCGTGTACTCAGTTAAATTGTTTTTACTACGTGCTTCCTTAGATAGACAGCTTTTACAATAATGTATGCAAATGTTTTTCTAGTGGTCTGAGACGACTTGTCTTGTGACATGGCGCTATATTAACAAACTGAATTGAATTGAATTACTATTATTGCACAACTAATATTAATTATTGATATCCCAATACGAGGAAAAGTCTAAATATTCTACTACTGAATTTTAAAAAATGAATATGGCACGTAAAAAGCCAAACTGAAAACTGCAAAAGAAATGACAGAAAGCATTATTTTATCGTGAAAGTAAATATATTACAATTTCACACTAATTCCACAAAAAAAAAAAAGAGAGAATGTTTGTTAAAGCTTCCATTTTTGTAAATTCAGAGGAGATAAACGAGTATGTAATGTATATATGTATCTGGCCTTTTTTTAGGGTAGACTTGCTAACGGAACATTAAGCTGGTAACAGTAATGTGCTAAGCCAAAGACGCTGATGTGCATATTTTAATACGTACAGACATCCATCATTATCTTTATCCGCTTCTTCCTTTCTGGGTCGCAAGCAACACTGGTGTTCATTTTCCAACAGTCACAAGCAACAAAATACAGTAGTCCTTTGTTTATCGTGGGGGATCTGTAACCTGAAGCCCCACGATAAGTGAAAAACCACGAGGTAGGAATATTAGTACAAGTAGTAAGTAATTGTTTATTTTAATATATGTATTTAATTTTATTTTTATAAAGACGTTTTAAACACTTCCCACATTCTTGCAATATTCTAAACAATGTTTCTAAACTAAACGCTCTAAAAGAGCACAGAACGTCATGATTTCAGCTCCGGGCCTGCTTCCTCTGCTCTTTGCCACCTGCCGGCGCTCTTGGCCACGCCCACTTATTCGCACTGCACCATGAACAGTTGATCAGCTGCAGCAGGAAGTTTATCCTGCATTACGGGCCGCACAAATGTGCAGCAGGTGCTAAATAATTGAAAATAATTTATTTTAAATACAAATTCCATGCCGATCGTGCAGCTCATCCACCAATCAGCCAAGTGTGTGTCATGTCCAATCTTATTTTGAAAAACCGCGATAGCGCGAGTCTGTGATAAAAGAACTGCGAAGTAGCTAGGGACTACTGTAAAAGCTGTGTAAAATGGTGTTCAACATACCTTAAAGGCCTCCAGCTGTTGGTTGATCACATCTGTTTCCATGCCAACAACCTCCTGAGATGTTTCCTTGTCCACAGCTTTGAGAAGTTTTTCTTCCACTTGATGAAATTTACCATAAAGCTCCTCCAGTTTGCTAAGAGTACTCCGTACCTGGACGTCTCTTTGCTTGGCTCGGTCAAACAGTTTGCCACACTGCTTACTTAGAGCATCCAGATCTCTTTTCAGACCCAACAGGTCAGGTGATGATTCAGACTCTTTTAGCATCTTCTGACAACTGTTTCCAGCATTGGCCGTGTTCGTCATCAGCTCTTGCAGCTTAGCCACAAAACTCTGAATGCTGTCCTGCTGCTCTTTAAGAGTGGGCAAATCCAAATCTACTGGAGACATGCTGTCGAGTTCATCATCAAGATCTGTGAAATGGGTAAACATCTCACGAATGCTGTTTTGGAACTGTCCGATACCCTGCAGTTTACCCTCCAACGTTTGGCATGCTTCTTCTAGTTTCTTGTTAAGGCCGCTGTAATCTTTTTCCACGTTATCTGCCTGAAGTAAAAGCTCTGTCACTCCTTGAGCATCTGGAGCATCTAGTACAAGCTCCTTTGCCAAGGTTTTCATGTGCTCCACTTGGTTCTGCACTCCCTCTAAACTCTTTTGTTGGGCTTTCATGTTTGTCAAGTTCTTGTTGCTGTGTGCCTGGAGCCCCTGTGATTCATAAGAATCCACCTGCTTTTTAGCAGCTTCAAGCTGGCTCTTTGCTTCTTTGTGGGCATCATTAAATTCTTTAACAGAGTGTGAGATCTTCTCCAGGCATTCCCTTTTGGCTTGCAGTCCATCCACCAATTTATCTACTTTTTTACCAACGGTAGCCTTCTCTTCTGTTACAGCTTCAGTGTCCATATTGGCCACCTCAAGAAGGCTTTCAGCAGCTGTGTTAAGCTGTTCCACCACTCCTCTGTGCTTGTCGACATCCTTCTGAAGTGCTTTCACCTGAGAGATGGAGCCTTCCGTAGCCACGGGATCAACAGTGAGTTTAATACGGCCCTCGCTGGCTTCACAATCTTGTATCCAAGAGTTCAGCTTCTCTGCATGCTCGTAATACTTCTGAGCTCTCAGGACAGCAGCTAGCAGTCTGTCAGCCTGCTCGGCAGAGCCCTTCTTCACTTCCTCCCAGTTGGATGAGAGGACAGTGAGCTGACCCTGCAGAGCCAACTTTTCTGCACCATCAGTGCTCTGCAGCAGCATCTCGCCTTCGCCAGTGATTGCACAGTACGCTTCCTCGTGATCTTTGAGAGCGCTCTGCAGTTTATTGTGCTCCTCCTGGGTTTGCTGCAAAACATCTACTTTGGCAGAGATGGGCAGAGACTTGGATTGTTCCTGGAGCCTCTCACTCAGCCATGACTGGAAGTCTTTGGAGGTTTGATGGAACTGCTGAGAACTGGCAAAGGTTGAATTCAACTGCTCGATCCGTTTTGCTACAACAGAGAAATAAAGGCATGATAAAGAAAATGATCAAACAGCTCTTAGAAGCTGAAATGACACATACTGTGAATTAAAGACCAACCTGCTTTCTCTTCCAGCTGTTTAAGAGGCTTGCTGACGTTTTCCAGCTGCCTCGCCAGATCTGCTTTAAGATAGTCCTCAGTCACTAACGCTGAGAGCTCTGCACTGACGGCCTCAGCCTGCTTCAGCTTCTTCCTTTCCTCTCGCAGCTCAGCTGAAATGTTCTGGACATCTTCCAGCTGCTTCTTCACGGCGTCAGGCTGGGTGCTGTTGGAGTGATGGTTGGTGAGCTGATTCTCCAGCTGAGTGGCCGTGTTACTGAGGCTTCTCAGTAACTCCTGAAACTGCCCGGTCTTCACAACTGCTTGGTCGATTAGGCTGTCTCGCTGGTCCAGCTGTGCTGTGAGGCCTTGCCACTTCTGGGTGACAGCAGTCAATTTCTCCTTCAATGGTTTCCCATTTGAAGGCTCCTGTTTGCCCGTTGAGCTGAGGATGGCTGCAGCTGCTTCCTCGAGTTGTTCGTATTGAGGTTTACGGCTCTTGAACTCATTTTGGAGGATCTGGAGTGGAAAAAAGAAAATAAGTCAAGGGGATCCAACAAAGTTCAGTCAGGTCATCTGGACGGATTCTTTTTTTTTTGTCGTTGTTGAGATGTTTCGTCCTTCATCCAAAGGACTTCATCAGTCCGAGGAGCCGCAACAAACTGAGTCCTTCAAACAGCACACTCACATAGTGGACCAACCTTTGGATTTTTTTACCTGGATTATTGAGCATGAACTTTGATGTTTTGAACCACTTTGGCTATGGCTGCATCAGAGTCTATGGGGGAGAGGGCAGGCCCCAGAAAGCATCTTATCACCAGCAAACTGGGTGGTCCACTGTGTGAGTGTGCTGCTTATGGGACTGAGTTTGTTGTGGCTCCTCGCACTGATGAAGTCCTTTGGATGAAGGACGAAACATCTCAGCAAAAAAAAAAAAAAAATCCAGATGACCTGAGTGAACTTTGTTGGATTTTTTTTACCTGGATTATTGAGCATGAACGTTGATGAGGACAAGGGAATTCAGGGTGCTCAAAAGTCAAACATTAGTCAAATTATTTCCAGCAACTCGCATCTTTACTAACCTGAACTTGTTGTTTCTGCATTTTTAACATGTTTGGGTCTATAGAGAGAGGTCCGAGGACACTCATCATCAGCTCCTTCTCTGAGAGCCACTGACCAAGCTGCAGCTCGGATGATTGGAAGACGTCTAGATTTTTGTTGGACTGTTCCAGGTGCTGCTTCCTTTCTTCTACAGAGCCACTGATTTCCGCCCAAGCAGAATCTGGACAAAAAGGCCAGAACAACAACACCAATCTGCATTAGTCAGCACAAACACGCCATTCTGTCCTTTGCCCCACCGTTCTCCTCCCACTGTGCAGAACTTGGCAAAGAAAATGTGTTAATTTATGTTGCAGATAAAAGGTGCAGAGATGGTGTTACATTCTGTTCACATGTATGTACATATCACACTTACGGATTAACCAAACTTGGAAAATAATCAATGCCATACTTAAAAGAAATTCATAATCTGTGGGTTTTAAACACAATAATCTGTTGTCATCTGGCGTCAACACCTTAGTGCATACCTATTTCTGAAAGCATCTTCTTCCACGTTGTTGCCTCGGGGGAGTTAGGACGTGTTGAGATCAAGCCCAGAAGCTTCTCTCTTAGCTTCTGAAGATGCTCCTGCTTCCTCTGCATCCCATCTTGAAACACCTGAGAGAACCAAGTAAACCATAAATGCAGAATGCAGTCATCTCAAAGAAACAAAGTTAATAGTGGCTGTATGCGTTTTTGGCCCATTATTTACTGTAACCAAACATTTGGTGAACAAAAATGCATCTTTACCCTCTGCTGCTCAAGCTGCACTTTCACAGATTCCTTCTCAGCAGCTGCACTGTTCCAGGACTCTGCTGTCTTCTTCATGTCCTTCAGCCATGTCATCATGTCCTCGGTCTCCTTTTGGGTCTCTTTCACCTCACGCAGCAAACCACTCAGCTGCTCTTTTTGACTCTTTAGCGTTTCTCCAAGACTAGTGTACTCCTCATTAACAAACGACATGTTCTGCTGGATTCCCATCAACTCTGAGGGCGACAAAAATAAATATTTTCTCACCAGGACTTCATGACACTTTAACTCAGGGGTCTGCAATTTTTACGCTCAAAAGAGTCATTTATGCCCCTTTGTTCACTAAATAAAGCCTGTCTGGAGCCACAACAATCTGCTACGACTGTGATCATCAACTGGTGGCTCGTGTTGGATGGCGCTTTTCTGCCCAGTAGGGGTGGCATTATAAAGCTGAAAATATTTAACGATTTTTAGCGTTTGTTAATATTTAGACATTTAAAGACAAAATAAAAGACAACATTATTGTAAATAAGGAAAATAATATAGTTTGCCCAATTGCCGGCCCTCTTCCTTGTCTTGTCAAACTGGTTGAAAACAACATTGAGCATGGACTTTGTCGTTTTCAACCAGTTTGACAAAACTGTCAACAAGGAAGAGGGCCGGCAATGGAGGAAGGGCGTACCAAAGAGACCATCTTATCACAAGCAGAACTGGTTTGTTCCATTTTGGAGTAAGTTGTTAAGGGAAGAATCAGTTTTTTTGTGCGTTTCCTTGACTGATGAAGCCTTCCGGATCGAAGGCGAAACGTTTCAGCACAAAAAAAAAAGAAACTGTCCAGATGACCTGACTGAAAAATGTTAGATAGTGAATATATTTTACTCCTTTTATTAGTTCTAGTATTCACTTATTTGTGTAGGAATCGACAGAAAAACTGCTAAAACTCACCCTTTTGTTGTGCTAAGATTAAATAAAATTCAGTTTTAAGTCAGTTTTGGTCAAAGCTTAAAAGAGCCGCCGCAGCGGGACCAAAGAACCGCATGTGGCTCCAAAGCCGCAGGTTGAAGACCCCTGCGTTAACTGATGATAGGAGATGATTATCCATGCTGCTGATTTCATGCCGCTGTATTCATTCATATCATGTACTAACTACAGACTCATGTTCAGGCTGCTGCTTAATACACTGTATTGTTTACATTATGAGTATTTAGCGTATATCTTAGATCTTTTTACATACCGTTTAGTGTTTGTTCAGTGTATATTGTATCTTAGTTTATATCTTAGATGTTTATATACTGTTTCTTTTTATACTTTGTTTGCTATTATTGGGTTTAACTAGGACCCTGAGTACACATTTTCGTTCCACCTCATGTACCACATGTGATGCAAATGACATAAAAGATACTTGAACTTGAATAAATCTCAATGAGTATCACAAGCTAATATATTACTTTATATTAAGATAAGATATGTAACAGTATGCTCATAGTATTATTAATGAATGCAACAGGAAGGTTTACAAAGATGATAAAGGAAGTGATGCAAGAAAACTAGAATATGATGCATTTATAAGTGTCATGTATACGTGTTTTAACAGAAATTGTACATTCACTGGAGCAAGTCATGCACACTTAAGTAAAGTGATGTTTTTCTTTATAATTGCAAGTCACAAAAATATATGAAAAGTATGTCTTCTAGCAAGCCTAAAGATCTATTTCAAAATTGAAAAAAATGTTATTTGAATTTGTACCAAAATGCTTAAAAGTTTTTTTTCCTTGGACTATGCTCCAAGTATATATTTTATCTGAACAAATTTAACACTGTAGTTTAGCACAGGCTGTTTCTGCAGGTTAAAATATGTGCTTTATCAATTAGTTCTGCAGTTGAAGCTGAATATTATTAGATCGCACTAAAAGATGAAAAATGGAAGTTGTTATTTTGCCACTGCAGCATAAATATCTTACCACTACAGTACACCACAGAGTTTTGACAAAGCAGCACATTCGCACTCGGTTACCTTTATTTGTTAGGTAGCTGTGGCTCGCTGGACCGCCACCGTTAGTAAGAGCTGATGCAAAGACATGAGACAAAGCGTCAGCAGCAAAACAGACAAGACTGTCCCAGTCTGTAATTGTTAGTAGTAACACACTGCTTCTCAAGTGAGCCCATACATTACGCCTCAAAATCAACTGTATGATGTTTACCTGACTTGTTAGGGGTCTTACTCTTGGCAGGAGATGTGAGAGAGGTGATCAGGCTGCACAGTGCAGATCCTTTGGTGTTCAGGTCTTGGACAGCAGGGCCTTTGGATGACCATTCATGTAATAAGCTCTGATGAAAGATAGATTGGACACATTTTAAAAACAAAACAGGTTTGGAATTGGAAACACCCAATATCACAAGGTGATTTGTTTAACGACGAGGCTATTCATTATGAATTGTGCTCTGTAATGTATTGTGACAAAAACAGTCTCTCTGCTTGAGAACAGTGCTTCACTCCTGGATCTATTCTGTATAAACAGCAATCATTCATTGGTCATCAGCTGGCAGATAAAGCCGGTTGGAACAGAGGGGAGTTTTGGGAGGATATCTGTTGAAATACACTTAAGCTGCAACACAAACTTCTGCGTCATAGTTTACGTATCACGTCATTTGTGACTTTTGCTCCTGTTCTTTTTAGGTGCAATTAGACGTACTGGCCAAAAGCTATTTATTCATCCCATGACTCACAGTGATGATCTGCAGGTCCTTCTTCAGATTTTTCTCACTGCTGCTTGGCTGAGCTGCAGGTACTCTGTCATTGGTCTCTTCCAGCCACTTGGTGAGCACGCAGACTGCAGACCTGAACTCTCCCATCTGGTCCTGACAAGACGATAGCTCTTCTTCCCTACATCAGACATCAAGACCAACCAGACCACTGACGAATATCCATCTAGATATGATGTTATGGTATAAATATTCTTCCCCAAACTTACTTTTCATTAACTGTGTCCTTAAAAGTGTTAAAAACATTAGAGAGCGTGTCCATCTTGCTCTGAAGTTTGGCTTTGCTTCCATCAGGGCTTATGACAGACAGCTCCTTGGACAGAGTCTGCAGTTTCTCCATATCGCTGGAATATTCAGCCATCTCAGCTTTAGTGTTCTGAAGTGAATTTTAAAAAAAAAGTTGAGTTATTGTGATAAAACTACAACAACACGACAGAAAGTACTGGTATTAGACTAACCTGTGTTTGTTCAGACATTTCATTAAACGTTTTCCCAGGTCCGTCCGTTTCCTGCAGCTCTTGCAGCCGCTTCACGACAAACTGCTGGACTTTGTCTGAGATGTTTTCAAACTGCTCAACCTTTTCTTTCACCTGCTCCAGGTGGGAAACCTTTTTCTTGTGCTTATCACAGGCATCAGTGAAGCGCTGGGAGAGAGAATCCATCTTTGACTCCAGCAGCGCCGCTGCCGAGGGATCTGCCGTCTCCACGAACTTCTTCACCTTGGCTTTTATGGCTGAGATGCTACTCTGGCGACTCAGTATGTCCTGCTCTAAAGCCTAAAACAAGTTGGATTACAGAGTTAAACTAATCGCAGCGTATGGAATACAAAACATAATAAGTAGCTGTGTGACTGCTTAGATGATGGAAAGAAAACCTACTGCTTCTTTACTGAGCATGTCTCCAATAGATGCAGAGTCCAGGGGTATTTGTTCTTTTTCCTTCACACTGGCCTCCACTCTCTCCATCCATCCCATCATCTCATCCAAACCATCCTGGACACTCATGGAGCGGGTCAGGGTGATTTGCAATTTTGTATTTCGGTCACTCACAGATTTGGAAAGGTTGTCGTAGCGCTCAACAATATCATCTGCAACACATGGATGCAAAACAAGTTCTGCTAATGAAAAAAAGTCCTTTCTCACCATCTGGAACAAAATATGAGGAAAATCTCAATATTTAGCTACATTTTTATTGGACTTATTCTTTTTTCTCACCAACTGTCTCCTGGATCTCGTCTGGGTTACTGAGGAGATTTCCTTCAGATGTTACCAAAGACTCTGCTGTTTTCTGTAATGTATCGATAGCGGTCTGATGTCCCATCATCTGACCCTGTAACGCCTGCAAATCAGCAATAAAACAATCGGGAAAATATTTTAACCACTAACGTGATGCATTCTTTTTTAAATTTTTTTATTTACATTCATAATTTTATTTCTAAAAATGACACATTGAAGATAAATACAAATGATAAATGATATTTAAGGTTAGGTCATCTAAAATAATTAAATGAGAACGCTTACACAAAGGCATGAGCTTTCAAAGCGTTTCGTTCATTGAAGCTCAGAGAACTGTGTTCCTTGGCTAGTTCACAGGGCTCTTATCTGAGCAGAACTATGCTGTAAATCACAATGATTCAAAGAAACTAACTGCAGCCAAACACTTTGACAGAGGTTGTTTTGTCAACTTGTTCTTATTTTCTTTTGTAGAAGTAACGTATTTTCCGGCATATGTCACAGTTTTTTTGCATAGATTTGTCAGTCCGGCGACTTACACGCCGAAGCAACTTATATACGTTTTTTTTTTCCATATTCATAACACAATTTTTGACTGATGCTTTAAATTTCTAAGTTTTGCAACAATGAGTCCTCCCGTGTGCACTGCTTCATTCAGCTGGTGCAGGCAGACGAATGCTGGAGAGCTAGCAGCTCCAGCCGCGATGGTTGGATGGATGGATGGCGCTGCGCCGCCCAGGCAAAATGAAGCTGTTTTGACAATTAAAGTGCATTTATTAAGGAAAAGTTAAACTGAGACACACTTTTGCTATAATGTCGAGCAAATAAATCATTGTTTTGAAGTGTTAATGCTGTTAAATTTAGAAGAACTGCAATAGTGAGTCCTCCCGTGCACGTTCGCTTCACTCAGCTGGTGCAGGCGGAGGAATGCTGGAGAGATAGCGGCTCTGGCCACGATGGATGGATGGATGGATGGATGGATGGATGGATGGATGGATGGATGGATGGATGGATGGATGGATGGATGGACAAACGGACGGACGGACGGACAGATGGATGGTGCGACGCTGCCCAGGCGAAATGAAGCTGTTTTGACCATTAAATAAACTCATAATAAACGCGACGGGTCAGCGGTAACGCATAATAAATGTGACTTACTGTATATATATATATATATATATATATATATATATATATATATATATATATATATATATATATATATATGTTTTTTTCGTCTTCATTATGCTTTTTTTGACTTATGTGACTTATACTCCGAAGCAAATTATACGCCGGAAAATACGGTATGTAGGCTACAAATAACCAGGGTTAAACTATCCACATGTGATTTTGAATCTAAACACAAAGCCAGAAAATGTTTGGAAATGCCGTAAGACATGTTTTTGTACCATGATCTAAATAAAGCCTTTCTTTTTAGTATTCACTTAATATATCAGTAACCTGACTTCACCTGATATATGCATAAAGTTGAAAAGAACAATGAATGAGATCTTATTTTCATCATTTCTGAGATGTTCAGCACAAACAGCCGTAAGCCTGTTTCTTGCCTTGGTCTCCTCCAGCTGTTTCTGGAGTATCTGTGGATCAGCTGCTATGGCCTCTGATTGGTGCTTCCTCGCATCCTCCTCTGAGATGTTGAGCCACTTCAGAAGGCCAGTGCTTGAGTCGTCATACTTTTTGTACTTGTCCACCACTTCTCTGAGGTTGTTACCAAGCAGATTGCACTAAAACAAACAGCAAACAAAAAAAAAATTTCTGACACCCAGACATTTTGCAATATGTACACAGACAAAAAAAATAACAGATTGTTGTTAAATTATATCAACAGAGGCATACACGTTGATGAAGTAATGCTGCCACCTGGTGGTTAAATTAGAAAATTACAAGTAACTTTCATCTGGTCAACATTAGATTGAAATACCTGTGAATGCAGTGCTTTATATCGGCTGGCTGCTACATCCACTTTGTCCTTTACAGCCAAACAGGTCCCTGAAGTATCCACATCCAGCAGAGAATTATTATCTGCATGGTTTGACTGTCCACAAGCTTTAGCCACATCAAGAACTTTCTGTCCTGAAATGGTGATAAAGCGAAGGTCCCCTTTGTGGGAAATCACATCCTCAGAGAAAACGTTCTGTTGCTGAAGTTTATCAGTTAGAATATTGAGAGAGCCTGCAGGAGCACCCAGCGCATCCATCTCCCCTTCAGCCTGGTTCAACCAGCCTTCGAACTCCTCGCAGTCATCCTGGAACTTCTTCAGCTCCTCCTGGACACACTGCACCTGCTTCATCTGCTGCTCAGCTTGAGTCAGAGAGGCCTCATAGCGCTCCTTCAGGTCTTGGATGTTCTTCTGAAGCCTCTGCTTCTCCTCTGGTGACAGCACGTTTGCTTGTTTGTCAAGCAGAGCCTGGGCTGACTGGGTGGCCATGATCAGATCCTGCTGCTGGGACAAAATCTCCTGATGGCGGGCCTTCAGAAAACAAAAGAAGACAGATTATCACTGCTGATAATCAAAAATTAAGTTTGTATTAATCTATCGATACAATATAACCCAAAGCAACACAATATGATGGAACCTATTGCTCTGTCACTTGAGTTCAGTTTGAAACTCTTGCACAAAAGGTGGTGCGTGATGTGCATTTCCCTAAAGGGATTCCAGAAATTAGCTTGACTATTAAATTCATGTATAGAATTTTTGGACATAAACTATCATATGGACAATATCAAATTTTAAAGTAATTTAGCCATTTGATAATCAGCAAATGAACATGAAAGATGTGATTTCTTCCATTTTTGCGCTTCCTGTAAGTTTGACATTTTGCAGTTTTTTTCCTTAGAACAACTTTAAATGTTTGCTCCTGTTTATAAAGTTTTAAGTATGTGCTGTACAGCATGAACTAGAATGAAAAAAAGCTTTGCAAATAGCAACATTTTTAGTAATCAACCGAATATACCTTCACTCTGTCATATTGTTTATCAAGGTCGCCGGATGCAGAGTTCTCAACTTTGGTCTCTCTGCCAACATCCTTTTCGGGGGTCTGTAAAGCGTTTCCATTGGCATCATCATCTTTTCCTATTAGTCCTTTGGCTGAGTCCTCTGGCAGGTTTCCATTCTCTTTACTTATATGGTCAGTTTGATCCAGACCGCACAGGTTTTCATTCCCTATGTTGGATATCCAATCTAGAAGGCCTTCGATTTTATTCCTACTTTCTTCAAGCCGCTCAACAGCTGCTGCCTGCATTGACAGACCACACGTTAGAAATGCTGCTATGTCCTACAATCCAAACTCTTATGCATTTTATATTATATTTTAGAAAGAAAGCACAAAGAAGTAATATAAACCTTTTCGCTCTCCTGTTTTATAGCTGTTGTAACAACCTTCTCCAGATCTTTTCTGGATTCCTCTGCCCGCCGATTGATGAGCTTAGCTTTACTTTTAGCTTCTTCCAGCTGGCTCTCAATCGTGGCGATCTGATCTGGTGTCAGTTTGCAGCGATTCTCCTCCAGGAACTTTTTGGTGCTGCTGATGACCTCATTCAAAGCACTGGCATTGGTAAGCACGTCTTTTTGCAGAGCCTTGAGATCACGCAGGGAATAAAACAGCTTTAGTATTTCTTTTGTGAAGGTTTATTTTTAGACAACTCAAACAATATAGAAACCTGATGCTCCTGCTGATACTGCTGAAGGTCTGTGACACACTCGGCTTTTTCTGCCTGCTGCTGATGGCCAAGCAGTTGGTTCTCGGTCAGGGTGAGGTTATCGCACACTTCCTCCAGCTTATCTGCAAACTCCTTTTGTTTGGCCATTAAAGACTGGTGAAACAAAAATTAAACATGTCAGTTGTTGTTGCTTACAACAATAAACCTATGATTGGTTAAATTCATTTCTATACTCAGTGCAACAGTTCACATTTTGGAAACAATCGTATCATAGGGAAAGAAGACCTTTCAAACACACAAGTGACATGCAAATTCAGCTTTGGATGCATGTTGCTTTATCAATTTTAAAAACCCAGTATGCTGTAAACATGCTGTTTTGTCACTGTTTTTTCTTATGATGGAATTAAGCGCAAGAAGACCTTTCTCTGAGTGTTAATATGTTGTGCAAAAACGTTCCCCAGTCTTGAGACCTGCAGAATACAACCAACACAAAGATTAGTCTGCAGCAGAGATCAAGCACACTGAGCATGCAATGATGTTATTTGATTAAATGTTAAGGATTTAAAAAGGTACTCAACTTGAGCATTACAGGAAAAAAAAAAAACAAGTTTAGACTCCTAGAACCTGTCATCCACATATGCAAAAGTTCAGGTCTTAGGAGGTTAGAATCAAAATGTTACACTTGTTGAGTAGCATGGCTTGTATAAGCTACAGCAGCAGGACAAGGTGCATCAGTTTTAGAAAATAAACCAAATGTATCAACACAAATGGACATACTTTTTTCCAATTCTTTCCCAAAAATTAGCCAAAAAAAAAAAAAAGTAAGGATTTGCACGTCTTACAACTGAAACAGTGCAAATGCAGATCACACTGTGAAATACACTTATCTACACTTGTGTAAATGGCATTTAAAATATAAAATCCTTTTATCCTTTGCAAGAAAGGATGTGCTTAAATTGTTATGCAACATATCTAATGTCTTTCCCAAAGTGGTAAGTTCCAGCAGGTATAAAATGACCTTTTGCTTTATTACCATAATAAGTTGAGAGATGCTCAAGCATTTCTTTCTTTTTTTTTAACTTTACATAACCTTTTCAATGATTGTTGCTTACATATGATTTTTTGGAGTATGGGATGGGGGAATAATTCATGGTCATTAAAAATCTGAAACAATTTGAAATTCCAAGCCGTGGCAGCTGGCCAATAGAGGGCGCAAGGGCGCCGCCCCACCACTCACAATATTACCTTGAACAAGACCAAAAAAATTAAACAAAAATTAAATAATAAAATAAAAATATTTCAAAATGTATGCATTTTTTTTTTGTTGTGTACGATAAAATGTTTTATAGTTAATGATGAGTAAAGTTGTTTCGTTCAACGGCGTTGTCTGATTGGTGACGTATTTCCACCCTGGGATGCAAAAATCTTTGCCCGTAGACTGTCGTTAAAAGTTGTACATGCTCAGTTAGCTCCTCTTCAATACAAGCATTCTGGGGCGCACCCCTCCTGCGCCCAGAGCTTAATGCAGGTTGAGACGATCAAACAGAGATGCGAAATGAAGCAAGAGACCGATGAGATAGAAGCTAATTGTGCGATGTTGGTGTTTTACAATGTTGTCAATCATAGTAGTGCTGTATGGTGAAAAGTGGGGCGCACACCTTGCCCTATATAATATAACAGTCTACTTTTTTTATAGGTGCTATGTGAATTTGCATTGTTGCTATTAAATGAACACATATACTCATAAAATAAATAGTTTTTATATATTAAATAATTAGAAAGCGGACTAGCCATCTCCAAATTGTACTGAACTGGTGCATTCATTTTTTTTTTTTTTTTTGATTTAAGTAAAAAGTAGAACACTACATGACATTGTAATGTTGCTTTTGTTGTTTTCATTCATGTAAATACACTGGTGTGATACCTTAGTATAAGTTTTGGTATATCTATTTTGGAGTTATAGCCCCACCCTTGAGAAAACTCCACCAGCCGCCACTGATTACAAGTTTTGCAATTGGAGTGGTTACTGTTACTATTTCCTGTTGTATAGAATGTTCCAATGGTCTGCAAATCAAATGGAAGTTTCACTCTGCCCTGGTGGAAACATGATAATATTTACAGCATGTCCATGAGGCAAACCTCTTCTTCCTTTTCTCTCTGTCTGCTGTCCAGCAGGACATCTAAAACACTCCTCTGTGTAATGAGCTGCTCCGTTTGATCCTTGAAAGCTCGCTGTGTGCTGGTGAGGAACTTCAGGAGGTAGCTGCTCTGAGCTGGACTCAGAAACTGAGTGTGCTCAGAAATGAAGCACTGAATATCAAACGTGACCTCCTCCAGTTTAAGTCTGGCTTCTTGCACCAGGTTCTTCTCCGTATCCTAAAAAGGAGATAAGAGCAAAAACTAAATAAAATGTTTTGTCTGGTCTTAGTTGATGCATCTGCAAAGAATTGTGAGAGGGTATTGAGTATACCATGTTTTGATGGCTTAAACGTTTCAGTGTGTCCTCATCACACATGTTCAAATCCAGATCCAACATCTCGGACTTCTTCTGAATGAGGCCCATTAGCTCATTGAGATCACCGAGATGTTTCTGGTATGATGATTCCAAGTGAGACTGAAATCACAGACAAAGGAGTTAGAGATTCACATAAACTGTTACTTCATGTCGTTTCCTTTTGTCTGCCATCTGGACGCTGACCTTTTCTGCTTCCATTGCTTGAATCAGGGAGTCATTCCTTTCTGCAAACATTTGAGAGACAGCAATAAAATTTGTCTCTAACTCCAGATGTGTTGAGGCCAAATCTTGATGAATTTGTGGAGGAATGTCTTCATGAGATGAGTTCAAGAGCTCTTTAGCTTTCTTCATATCTGCTGTCAGTACACCACCAAGCTTAGACAGCTCAGACTCTAAAAACTAAAAAAGTTCAAATAATTTAGTCAATAAAATAAGATTGAACTCAACAATGAGACTGAAAATTGAGAACAAAGATCAAAGCTTGACAAATGTCTAACCTGACATTCTTCTATTTGGATCTGCAGATCATCCATGCTGCTGCCCATAGGCGCCTGCATCGAAAGGTCTTTTTTCACATCTTCTAAAATATCAGCATGGTCCTGCAGTCTTCCAACGCATTCCAAGTAATCATGGATGGAGAACAGCTGTGCAAACAGAAAACAGAAATTAAAAGTTTTACATGGATATTACAGCACGCAAATGAGATGACAGCTTGATTTAATGCACACAAAAAGCTCAGTGTTAATTATGACCTTTTCAGCTTTGCCAGCGTCCGAGCTGTCAATCATCCGAGAGGACGATTCACGAGTTTTTGCACAAGCGTGACAGTCATCTTTGTCGTTTCCTGCTGACTTCTCGTCCTCTTTCTCGGAGCTCTCCTCGCGATGCTGGTCGTTTTGTGAGTCCCCCTCCAGTGCACTGCTCAAACTGTCCACCATTTCCTGAAGAACTGAAAAGTCCTGGTTCAAGGAAGCGGTCTTTAACAGCTGCAGGAGCTGCAGTTGGACATTTGGAGCACCTTCTGCGCTCTCACAGACTTTTTCTTCCCGAGGTTCTGAGCTTTCCATGGTTTTGCTGTTAGATGTAAAGATGTTTTGTTTCAATGTATGTATGAGAGTGTCTCTGATGGAGCCTTCCACCTGTCCATGAGGTATGTTGTTTTGTTGAATACGAGTTTGTTGCTCTTGCAAGTCACTTAAATTAGTATGTTCTGTGGTAATTTCTTCCCGATCAACTACTGGAGTCTTGACACGGCTACAAATCTCAGAGCAAGCTGCTGAGCACACAGCAGATCTGCCTGACAGAGCAGGTTGACTAGGAGATCCAAAATCTTCTTCCATTTTGGGTTCAGGTTGCACCAGGTCAGTATTTGTTACAGATGGTGGATTCAAGCAGGGCATGCTTCTATTGTCATTCTCCTGTTCTGAAATTAGGACCTGCTCAGCGTCACATGGGACTACGAGGGTGTCATGTTGCCTCTCTGGGGAAAGCATCTCATATAACTTTACATCGTCTGAACCACTGATTATGGAGTCAGTCAAATCAGTCTCGGTAAAAACTGAAGCTTCCTTATCGTTGCTTATTTGACTAACATGATTTGCTGTACTTAAATCACCTAAAAAAGCAGATAAATAAGAGTTTGATTGTTGTGCAGAGGTTGTCCCTGTAAAGCAGCGGTCTGAAAGCAAAGAAACTGTCTCTGGTTGACAAGAAGAGTCTAAATCTCCCCATTTGGTTTCAGGTTGTATCAAGTCAATGTAGGATGATAAAGAGCCATTCAAATCTTGATTATTACCAGTACTGTCATTTCCCTGGTTTGATAATGCACTCTGCTTATTGTCACTTGGGTCTGTTAAAGTGTCCTCATGTGGCCTCTCTGACATTGCATCTCTTGCACAGCTGATATTTGACAAATCATAATTATTTAAAGCTGCAGTTTCCATATCGCTACATTTTTGACCAACTTTAATTTCAGTACTTAAGTAATTTGTAAAAGCAGGTAAGTCAGAAGAGTTGTTCAATCGTAGTGCAGGTGTTTCCTCTGCAACATGAGCTTCTGACTGCACAAGAAGTTTTTCTTGTCGGCTGTGAAATTCTAAATCTTCTCCTATTTTGCTTTCAGGTTGGATAAAGTCACTTCCTGCTGATACAGGGGCTGGATTTGAGCAGGACACACTTCCATTTTTACTGGCATTCTCCTGTTTTGACATTGAGGTCTGCTCAGTGTCACTTGGGACTGTGAATGTGTCGTCATGTTGCCTCTCTGGGAAAAGCCTCTCCTCGTATAGCTGCACATCGTTTGCACCACTAGTGATGGAGTCTGACAAATCCAGACTAGTCCAAGCTTCTACTTCAATGCAACGGATGGTATTTTCCATATTTAAGTCGTTAAAAATTGCAGGTAAGTCAGGAGTGGAGTTTGATTGTTGCACAGGAGTTTCCCCTCTAACACAGCTGTCTGACAAAACAGACAAACCATCATTATTGACATTCTCCTGTTTTGATGAGATCTGCTCAATGCCACTTGGGACTATGAGAGTGTCATCATGATGCCTCTCGGGGGAAAGTCTCTCCTCGTATAACTTCAAATTGTTTGCATCACTGATTATGGAGTTTGACAAATCAGTCAAAGCTGGAGCTTCCATATCACTGCTCATGTTACTCACATTTGCTGCATTTATAAAAGTAGGTGAGTCAGAAGTGGAGTTTGACTGTTGTGTAGGCTTGCTCTCTGTAATGAAGCTATCTAGTAGAGGACCTGTCTCTGATTCACTAGAAGATCCTAAATCTTCTCCTTTGTTGGTTTCAGGTAGTACCAAGTCAAAGTGTAAAGATACAGAGGGTAGATGTATCGGTAAGTTAGATATACTTTTGTTTTTACCCTCATTCTCTTCTTTTGATAATGGGATCTGCTCAGCGTTAGTCAGGACTATAAACGTGTCTTCATGTTGCTTCTCTAGAGAAAGTCTCTCCTCGTATAAGTTCACATCGTTTTCACCACTGACTTTGGAGTTTGGCAAATCATCTGTCAAAACTGGAGCTTCCATATCACTGCTCATGTTACTTACAGCATTTGCTGCATTTAAAAAAGTAGGTAAGTCAGAAGTGGAGTTTAACTGTTGTGTAGGTTTGCTCCCTGTAATGCAGCTGTCTAGTTGAGGACCTGTCTCTGATTCACTATAAGATCCTAAATCTTCTCCTTTGTTGGTTTCAGGCTGCACCAAATCAACGTTTAAAGATACAGAGGGTAGATTTAAGTTGGACATACTTCTGTTTTTACCCTCATTCTCTTCTTTTGATAATGCGATCTGCTCAGCATCAGTCAGGACTATTAAAGTGTCTTCATGCTTTTCTAGAGAAAGTCTCTCCTCGTCTGACCTCACATCGTTTGCGCCACTGATTATGGAGTTTGACAAATCATCAGTCAAAACTGGAGCTTCCATATCACTGCTC